TAGATGATCTGTTTTAAAGAAATTTATATTATATGTACTCTCTTACTAGAGTGCGCACTTCTTCATGCAAACTCTCTGGTCAGTGATAGATTGATGAGACGGCCTCTATTTATAGACTGGTCTGTTTTCCGTCGTTCTCAGCAGCGAAGTAAATTAAGAACAGTTTTAACTGGGAAAGTTGTCTTGAAGTGTTTGAGACAAAAATGCTTCAATGCTGCTCTAGAACTCAAAGTAAATGGCCTGTACACTTTATAGCTAGAGCATAACAAGATACTAATTACACACACCCCCCCCCCCCCCCCGGACAAAACTCACGCAATGATGGTCTTACCATATACATGTATTATACATGTAAATGAGTTTAAAATACATCTTTATGTACAGTTTAAAAACTGTTAAGGTTTTCTTTTCAGTCGATTTCAGGACATTTCTCATAATTATAATAATGTGCTTTTTTAGCTCTACTGGTCAGAGACCAGAAGAGCTTATGCGATAGTAAGGTGTCCGTCGTCCGTCCATCTGTCTGTCTGTCCGTCTGTTTGTAAACAATTTTTCAAAATGGTACTCCTCCTACAGTTTTGGTCTGATTTCAATATAACTTGGCACACAAGTAGACTCTACTAAGATACATAATTTAGTGCATCGGTTTTTTATTTTGATGAACGGTGTTGCCATGGTTTACTAAAAATAGAAATTTCTGTGACATTCATTTAAAACACTACTCCTCCTACAGTTTGGTCTGATTTCAAAATAAATTGGCACACAAGTAGACTGCACTATCATACATAATTTAGTGCATCAGTTTTTGATTTCGATGAACGGTGTTGCCCTGGTTACTAAAAATATAAAGAAGATGGTATGGTTTTAGCTTTATTGTGCCCTAAAAATTTAATGTTTTCAAAAAGTTTTGAAACTGGCTTAAATATTAGTTGAGTATATGACTGTAATAAATCAGGAAAGAATATAGCATGATGGAGTACCATTCTGGATATATGACGTCATTAATTTGATGCATTTCTCTATTTTAAACAGAAAAAGCCTCAAAATGACCCATTTCAAGGGTTATTTCCCTTAAGAAAATAGTGTCCACAGCCGTCGCCCACGTTAATTTTTAGATATGTTTTGTAAAATTCTTTGAAAAATCACATATCTCAAAATCTTTGTGGGCGATGCCTGTGGACAATATTATCTGAAAGAAAATTCCATTGAAAATTGATGTCTTCTGCAACTTTTTATGAAAATACGGGAAAATGCACAAGTTTATGACGTCACAATTAGCATTTGGAAAGTCATGTGGGAAAAAAGATTTGTATGATCTTTCTGCATGGAATTTCAATAATTCAAAAAGCATGAGTTTTAATTTTTTACATCACTTTTATTTTTAAGAAAAACACAGGGCAAGATTTGTATTGAAACCATACCTTGTTCTTTCTGTGAAATTCCTTTAAAACTCTACTCCTCCTACAGTTTTGGTCTGATTTTAATTTAACTTGGGACACAAGTGGACTTCACTTTGATATATAATTTAGTGCATCATTTTTTGATTTCGATGAATGATGTTGCCATGGTTACTAAAAATAGAAATTTTTTTGAAATTCCTTAAAAACACTTCTCCTCCTACAGTTTTGGTCTGATTTTAATATAACTAGGCATACAAGTAGACTACACACACTAAGATACATAATTTAGTTCATCAGTTTTTGATTTCGATGAACAGTGTTGCCATGGTTACTAAAAATAGAAATTTCTGTGAAATTCCTTTAAAACGCTACTCCTGCTACATTTTTAGTCTGCTTTTAATATAATTTGGAATACAAGAAGACTATACATAGATACATAATTTAATGCATCGGTTTTTGATTTCGATGAACAGTGTTGCCATGGTTACTAAAAAAAGAAATTTCTGTAAAATTCCCTTTAAAACGTTACTCCTCCTACAGTTTTGGTCTGATTTCAATCTAATTTGGCACACAATTAGAATACACTAGGATACATAATATGCGTTTGGTTTTTGATGTGGTTACTGAAAATAGAAATTTCTGTGACATACTTTCAAAACGCTACTCCTCCTACAGTTTTCCTTTGATTTCAATATAACTTGGCACAGAAGTAGACTACATTAAGATACACAATTCTATTTATTAATGCATGTTGCAAATCCAAGTGCTACTTTCTTATACGTACAGACCAGTAGAGGTACAGTCTCATCAGAGACTTCTGGTTATGAAATGAAAACCAGTAATCATGCTGTCTTCTTCATTTTGCCGATTCTTTACTTAGAACCTTATGGGATTGAAGCCCATTCCTCTACGGCTACTGACCTACACTCTTGTCATTGTATTAAAAGGAAACCCTTGTTGATCACAAAGCATGAAATAATATGCTACTGGCTGACTTTCTAAGCTTTTTTTTAAAAAACCTAACCTTGTAACGTACATTATTAATAAATGCAATATTGAAAGAAAAGGTGGAAAATGGACTGAATCAAGAAGGGATGTCCCATTTACTAGGTGGAGGGAGTTTGTTTATGAACTAGTCCACTTATGCAGTTATGGGATAAATAGTAAGAATAATCAGCAAAGCCATTGCTTTAGTGTTGCTTGCCCATATACAATGTGTTCTTTTAAAAAATGAGATAAAATTTACTGTTAATAAAAAATCTGAAGCTTAAGAATCAGATTAAAAGAATAAACTTTATTTATTTCCATAGAAGTTATCACTTCCATTCAATAGAACAATCCAAGAAAAAGTCACGAAGATAATTTACCTGTGACATTTGGCATGATATGATTGTGTCACCCCTTTCATAGAAGGCAAATGGACTGATCCAGTAGTTTAAAAACGCAGAAAAAATGTTACACGGACATGTCTGTACAAAGAATCGAAAAGAATAAACATGTGCATGCAAAAAAACTGAAAGAATTAAACACATCATTATTTTGCATCAGTAATATGATTCTTTCCTCTGCAAACTGTATTTGTTTAAATGCAGGTAACGAATTCCGATGTAAATCAGCTTGCACAAAATCTTAGTTCATTAAGAATGATCGCTTAGTTTTGGACCCTGGAAAAATTATATTATAAATTATAAAAATCCTTATACTGCCTGATGCACGTTGCGTCAGGCAATTACTTCACTTCGCTAGCCAAGGGTTTCTGATCCACTACTCTCTTGACCTACCCTTGGCATATGGTGCTGTCAAAAGATGGGAATGTTTACGTCATGTGATCTCGAATCTTACCACATACGCACAGGTTGCATCTTCAACAGAAATAAAAAGCGAATTTAAACATTAAAGTTTTTAGAAAATAAAAATGAAATAATTTTAGAAAACAATTGCTGATTGGTCGAACTATATCAATCAACTCCAATCACAACTCGAGAAAAAATCCCAACTTTTGACAGCACCATAGGCCAAGGGATTATGAGAAGAGAAGCGGATCAGAAACCCTTGGCTAGCAAAGATGTTACTACTTTTCTTTCTTGCTGTATAGATGATTCTACCCATTGAAGGAAGTACACAGTCATGCTTTTGTTTACCTCTGTAACATACGCTTTATTGGCTTTCACCGCTTAGAGAATTCTACATGGGAGATCACTCTCAATCACTATTTCATAAGTGAAAAAACCCATGTATTAAATGTTTTTTCTCTGCAAAACCCTGATTTGTCAATGTCCTTAAAGAAAAAAATTATATTGTGATACATTTTTGAATGTGGCAGAAAAATTATTTGACACTTAGTTGAAAAAAAATTTGACCCCCTCCCCAATACTCCCTGTCTGTTATGTGATAGGAATATTTTATTAAGGTCTTGAGTATATTTTTGTGTTGCCTGCAGAGCAGAGCGGCACTAAGGGATCACTCTACCTGGCATCTGTCTGTCCATGTCTGTCTGTCCGTCTGTCACACCTTGTATCTCAAGAACTGTAAGAGATATGGACTTGATATTTTGCACATATATTGCTTGGCACTATGGCTTTTGTGAATTGCCATGGTTACCAACCTCGCAACCCTTGACTTTCGACCTACTTTACAAAAAAGTGAATAGTGCCAATATACAGCAAATTTTTGACATTAAAGATGTATGTCTATGCTATTTAGCATGTGCACCGACTGTCATAATACATCATTAAAAATACCAACATTACAATTCACTTTGACCTTGACCTTCGACCTTCTTTGCAAAAAATACCCTGGACAGTTTAATTTAAGTCTTTTGAATTTTGAGAGGCGGGGTGGTGTTAATTAGCATTTATACGTGTTTGTGAGCTCATGATACTGTACTTTGAAACTGTATGATATTTAGTTAGCACACAATCTGATATTTTTAAATGCTATGAAAATACATTGGGATCGGTATCCCTCGATACATTGTGTAAACTGACAATTGGAGTAAAGACTTTGAAACACGTATTAATACAAGTAAAATGTTAAATAATTATTTATAATAAATTCAATTTAATTATTCATTTTAGGGTTGGGAATCATATTTTCTTTGATTATCAGATTCTATTGCAGCCCGCATGGCGCAGTGGTTAGAGTTTTCGCTCTAGAAATTGATCCTAATTATGAATCCCACTGTGGGACGTGGAGACTGGTCCTTCAGGTGGCATCTCCATATGAGTGAATTTATTTTGCACTCTTATGAATAAGCATGCTATTCCTCAAGTCACATGTCTAAAACGGGGGCCATATGAATGTCTAAGTAAAGCTGTTACTTGGATAATGCTTGTATACAAATAGTCATTTCAAGGCATCAAGGGTAAATTATAATAGATAATGCATAACGGGACTGCATTTTGACTTTATTTGAAGGATCAAGGGTTTCAAGTGAATGAGAGTTCTAAATACCAAGATAAAATGTGCTTAGTTATCTAGGGGAAAAATCAGGAGCAGAGACTTGCTTCTAACAATCCAGAACTGGAGATATTGAAGTTCAAGCCATCAAGAGTTACCTGTATTACAAGAACAGTAATATCAACATACATTTTATTTCAGTTACTCTGTACATCCAGTAGCTATGGAAGAAAAACAAGAATTGGCAAGTGATTCTGATCTGGAATTATTAGATGACATGGAACCAGATGAGAGTGTACATATCGTAAGTTTTGTGTAGGCTTGATCAATCAACATATTTCTTTGGATGCATAGTCAGTAAAAAACCTTATGCAAATAAATGACTTATTATAATAAGAACCAAATAACATTTGATCTTTATTAGCTTAAATACCTGTACCAAAGGGTGTCTGTTCCATTTCTTGTCTGTTATGTGTCATCTATTGTCTGTAAACTGTTTACATTTTCATCCTCTCAAAACCAGTGAGCCAATTTCAACCAAACTTGCCTCAAACATTCTTTGGTAAAGGGGTCAAATTTGTTCAACTAAAGAGTCATGCCTACTTTTAAGGGAAGAAAAAAAAGGAAAATGGGTCATTTAAAAAATTTGTTTCGAAAAGCACTTGGCCAGAAAAAAAATAAAACTTTTAGCATAGATGTTAATTTATTCCATTCGTGAAACATTGAGGTAAATTGGTGCCATATCAGTGGCATTACCAAGTATAATGCTCCATATTTTAATTATGTTCCCCAAACGAAGTTTGGGAACATATTGTTTTTACTCTGTTTCTTATTATTATGTCACCCCGAACAAAATCGGGTACGTATTGCGATTGTACGCATGAAAACATTGTTCATGGACTTTCTCACAGATGGGTGGAACAATGTTGTTGAAACTTTCCATAAAAGATGATGACCAACTATATTTGTGCAGAAAATATTTTTCAGTTTCAAAATGGCTACCACTGCCATGGAAACGTACGAAAAGTGAAGAATTTTGTCCTAAAGTGTTCTCGCTGATTCCTTAGACAATCATAATGAATCTTCATAGAAATGATAAACGATAATTGTAGTTGTGCAAATCGCACTTAAAATTTTCAAACCACCCATTGTTGCCATGGAAACAGAAGGAAAGTAAAAACTGCTTAACTTCCTTTTTCTCACAAACTGCTCAGACAATTATTTTGAAACTTGTACGGATTGTTCCTTACATTCTGTCAAAGTAATTTCTATTTTAAAAATTAGAATCTTTTGCAAACAGTTGCCATAGGAATGAAATATACAGAAAAAGGTGAATATACACACAGATGTTTTCTGAGGTGGCTTGGACAATTGTGATGAAAATTTACAGAAATTATGATTAGACACTCTATTTGTTCTGTCAACATTCAAAAATTTCTAAATGCCCATCGTTGCCATGGAAACAGGAAAAGGTGAATTTTTTAAATTTTCATTTTTCTCTGTAATTAACAAAGAAAAACTTTTTCAAAATTTTGTTAGTTTAATCCTTTCAATGTATCAAAGTGGTTTGTGCATAAAATGAAAATGTTGGTCAGTGCAAGGAAGCCAGGACAACTAATTGTTTTTTAGTCACCCTATTTTTGTTTTGGAGCATTCTCGTAGAAGGCTTAAATTAGAAAATCTTTATGAAACTTTGCAGAAATAAAGATCAACACCTATAGTTGTGTGGATATATTTCTATGTGTCGATGTCTATTTTAAAAACGGAAGAAAAAAAAAATCATAGTTGCATTTTCTTCATAGGAGTGGCCAATAAAACATTGTACAGTACAATTCGTTTTTTATCATACCAGTTTTATATCATACTTTTTTTTTTATCATAGATATTAGAAACACAAAACCATTTCTTAATAATTCATTGTAAATTTCGTTTGTTATTATCATAGGTAAAAGTATACACTTCGCTTACTACAATAGAACCTTTTCGTCTGTAAAATTTTTTTCACACCTTTTTCACTCTTGGGACAATCAATAAAACAAAAGATAACACCTATCTACACCTGTGGTTCATGCACTGTCACTTGTCTATACACAATGGCTTGATTGGGGAGATTAGTCACACTTCAGTGCACTTACCTGAGTGATTGTCACGGAAGTTTGTTGATTTAACAAAGTACATTACATAACAACACAAAACCGTTCGCAATCTTATTTTCTTCTTTTGTTTATCCTGAATTGTACATTGATAATAAATGTGTTTTACCAAATGTGTTGAAACTAAATTTTGTGTCAATTACAGTCCCTGAAACGTTCTACTTTCCCACTTGAACGGTGAGCGAACGCTGAACGAACGGTGAACGAACGCTGAACGAACGCAGAGCGAACGGTGAGTGAACGATGTGTGAACGCTGAACGCAACTTGGTGAACGATGTGTGAACGGTGAACGGTGAGCGAACGCAGAACGCGAACGGAGCGCAAACGCGAGTGCAAAGTGAACGGTGAACGAACGGTGAACGCAAGATGAACGATTTATTCGGAATGCCTCTGATCTTTTCCTTTCATTGAAACTATTCTACTGTATTCTAATGCCTGGTGCTAAAAAAAATAAATAAATAAAAAATAAAAAAAAAAATCAATGAAAATTGTCCAAAGAAAGACGATACATCCACATTAAGTAAAATTCTTACAATTTTTTCTGCACATATGTTCGATGTTTAAATTCAACTTTTTAATAACATGATTTTTATCGCTGTAAAACATTGTAATTGTTACCGAACGCTGTAGTATAACAGATGAAATTAATCTAGTTTTAAAATAAATATGTTTATTCTTTTTTGATATATAAAACCATAACAAATAATGTGGATTTTAGAAGAGAAAACTACGGACTTGTAGAATGAATTACTACGGTTGTAACAACCATACTCGGCGATTCCGTGTAAATTAATGAGAATTTTTTTTTTTTTTAACAAAGGTATGTGGACGTATTGCATAAATACACTCATATTTTAAAATTTCAATGCAATAATATATTTATGTGTCAGATTTATTTTTTATGATGATTTATTGAGCAGACTTCTACATGTATCTGTAGACATTTCCCGGCTGTGATTATACTCAGACAAGATGATACAAAGAGGCAATCATATTATTTGTTATATATTAAATTTTCACAACTTGATATTTAAGTAATATGCTGTCATAGTTTTTATTAAACAGACAAATGAGAGAGAGAGAGAGAGTCGGTTTTAGCCCCTCCTTCCTCAAATGTTTGTACCTATATCAAACAAAAATTCTAAATTTTTTCTAAATATATCAGGCAGTGAAAGTAACCATTTTTTTAATCAACAAATCCATTTGTTTTACAGTCATAATCGGTTTTTTATTTTCCTGCTTCAAGTTCACACGAAGTCCACGTGCTTGACCTGTCAATCAAAATCATTCGACACTGTGCAGGTGTGAAAGTCTCGTCACACCGAAGGCAAAGTGTTAGTATTTCCAAGAAGTTTTAACATTTTTTTCTTATCATTTCTAGAGCTGATTCCAACATTTCTTTAAAAAAAATAAATAAATAAAATACATTGGGAATAAACACTTGGAATGATTAAGCCGCTTGAATTTGAAACATACTCCCTGCCAATTTAAAATATCACCGCCGGCACATGTATATTTTGAACTACTATTATTTAATAACTTTGTTTAGATGCATGTTTGTTTTGAGACTGAAATTTTTGTGCTACAAAACACATTAACCTCTTTTTAAGGGGGCTGACTGGGGTTTTCATTGCACAATACTTCGCGCAGCATAGTAAAATAAAGCGTATTTACTCTTTTGAAGCAACTATTTTTACATAATTTATAAAGATTAACAAATTTAGGAAATCTCGGGTTAAAAAATCTAGTTACGTTTTTAAATAACTGATTTTTTAAACGATTTTTCAAATGATGGGTAGATAGACGTCGTAATAGTGTGTTTTTGACGTTATGAATAACCGAAGTTCTTTAAGAGGGGTCATTAATTATGCCATAAAATAAAAAGTATAAATTACATGCTCTTGAAATTTAAAACATACGAAATTGAGAATATAACAATCATTTTTATTATTTTTTATGAAAATCTGTGGTATCTGTCATGGTTTGTTGTACTCCATAAAAACAGGAAAATATCATGAATTTTGACATTTTGAGATGCCCCCTCTGAAAACCAGACGGTAGAATTTTGTGTTTCTTGCACAAAATGTACAATATAGTATTACCCATAAAATAATATAATTTGAGCAAAAAGTCTATAGTAGCATTTGTATAATTTGCTCAGAAGTGCGAAAAAATGGTATTTTCCTATACAATCCTATTGTAAATGTACCTGTATTTTGAGATGGTCCCTAAAAAATTACCAAACGGTAGATTTTCACTAAACTTGGCATGTATACTGAAGTCAATGTGAGGTACATATGGTATAAAATTAAAGAGTTTCTCTACAGTAGTTTTCACACATTAAAACCCCAGTCGGCTCCCTTAAATGTTAATTAAAATGTACTGGAAATACTATGTAACCGATTTGGGGGAAAGGGTGGGGGGGGGGGGGGAGGGGCTCTTAATAATATCGAATGACAAACATATAAAGTTACGGTGAAAAATATCATAACTGGAGAATCACCTTGCTTATATAAATGATAATCATGTTATGAAGGCATTTCTCTCTCTCTAATTAAAGACTTTATATATATAAAGTAGATAAAAATTCTTTAGTGTATTACATTTTAAACAAATATTTTTTTTAAACCACACTATCAATTTAATTCGCTCTAAAGATATTTAATTAACTGGATATTCGCAGTACCGTTTATGATTCTCAGAACAAGTTCTAACATCTATTTCTGTATTATTTGAAAAAAAATGTGATAGAAATAAATATTTTCGTATTTTTGCTGCAGTTGGTAAATTGATTGACTTCGATTATTATCGATTCATTAATGATTTGTTGTCTTTAACATAACAACAAAATGTTGCAGTGCTTGAAGTATCTGTATTTTGCTCGTATTTAAATTCAATTTTTCAGCATCGTTCTTCATAGGTACATACATGTACTTATAACAACATTCATTTTCCAGATAAGTTTTATAAATAACCTAACAGGTAATTTAGAATAGTAAAAATAAATATTGTAGATAATTTTTTTCCCATGAAATAATGATTCTTTAAACACGGTATGTTATTTATTAATTTCAAAACATGTAAATCCTTACTTAAAAAAAGATAAGTCCTTTCACTTCGGAGTTCCGAATGACACTGAAGACTGAACGA